AAAAAAAAAAAAAAATGGAAAAAAAATAATTGGACATTCTAAAAAGGCAGCTAATCATAGTTCATCTGGTCAGCCTGCTGCCCTTCACATTCAAATCTGACCAACGATGACGGGCACCCTTTCATTCAATAATTCATCCATAATCTATAATCTATATTCATATCCTTTTAACTTATTGAAACAGATCTACATCCATATTCATTCCACTATAAAACCAATTACCATCCTCCTATCCTATCCACCTTGTCAAAACAAACTCAACACACACACTAAAGCTCATATGATGCACACAGTTAGTTCTCTGATTCCCATTTACGTGGGGTTTCTTGTTTGGGCTACCTCCACCACCCTTATTGCCTCTCAGACCATTGTCAAATCTTTACCAGGCTATCCTGGTCCCCTTCCTTTCAAACTAGAAACTGGGTACATACATATAACTCTTTCCATCTGGTCTATGGATGTTTTCATTTCCGATGGATGGATATGTTAAAGTGTGGTACGTACATGTTTAGGTACATCGGAGTAGGAGAAGATGAAGCTGTACAACTGTTTTACTATTTTGTGGAATCAGAAGGGAACCCAGATGAAGATCCACTCATTATTTGGCTTGCCGGAGGACCTGGTTGTGGCACTCTTCGTGCCTTCTTTTATGAAATCGGTATGCATCCGACCCTTACCATTACATTTCTTTAAAGTTCAATGATTTAAAGCTATAAATTATAAACTACAAGGGTGGTGTATGATTGGTTTGAGCTTGACTCCAAAGATCAAAAGTATCGGGAGGTCCCAGGTTCAAATCAAAAGAGGAATATAAATCCCCTTGTGGCCACGGAAGTTCAAATATGGTGACTTCGGGCTATCTGCAAAGCAGGTGGTCACCCTAAAATTAATCGGCTCGCATAATAGGTTGGATATCCAGATTAATAAAAAAATAAAGCTATAAATTATAAACATGTTAGTAGTTTTTTTATCGGGGAAAATCATCAAAATAACCATTTTATACAACCCCACTATAATAAAATAACCACTTTTTAGACACATTGCGAAGATAACCACATGGGGCAATCCGTATTATTGGGGGCGATCCGTACTATTCACAAAGAAAAAAAAATGTTGGTGGGTCCCATTTTAATCCTAAAAAGAAGATATTGTTGGTGGGTCCCATTTTAATCCTAAAAAGAAGATATTGTTGGTGGGTCCCATTT